AAAATAGGGATTATTATACCTACCTCATAGGATTATTCTAAGAATTGTTACCTTATATAGACTGTAATAAAACTTGATAAATGGCAACCCCTTCCTCCTTTCCCCTGCTCCTCATTAAAGACTAACATGGCTTAGTATTTCAGATGTACAGATCATTCCTCATTCCAATTAAAGGACAAACCCTATGTCACTGGTTCTCAAATGGATTCACTCAGAGTATTTTAAAATACAGATACCCAGGCCCCTGACCTACTTAATCAGAATGTTGGGTGCTGGTAATCTGCATTTTAATAATATATTCCAGATACTTCTGATGTAAGTAATTACTGAACCACATTTGACAACCATTATTTATTTTTCACAAAAATATCCATTAGCTGGGTCTTGTCTTTCCTATAGACATTGACCATAGGATTTAAGTTGTTCTACTCTTTGTCTTCCATAGTGGTCCCCTTTGCATGTTCTAGTTATATTATATTTATTTATTCTTGTGTCTTTTCCCCACTACACTGTAAGCTCCTTGAGGGTCAGGATTTATCTCTGTTTCCAGCACCAAGAACATGACCTGGACCATAGAAGATAATCAGTTGTCTTTTGACTAAATAAATGACATAGATTTTAGCCAAAATGTTATTTTGTTGGTGTGTGTGTGTGTGTGTGTGTGTGTGTGTGTGTGTGTGTGTGTCTATTTAGAGACTGTGGATTTAAGAGAAAATCAATCTCTCTCTTTTATTTCTTTATTTTTGTGGTGCTAGGGTAGAAACCTAGAGCCTTGTTCATAGTAGGCAAGCTCTCTACCACCGAACCACATCCCTCATTCCAAGATAATCTCTTTAACACACAAAGATTGAGAATTTGTTGAGTAGAAATATTTGTAAACCAAGATACCAAGTTATACACCACCAAGTTTGTATCTTACCTAATCCCCCAGCATTACCTTGGTGGGCGGTCTACTCAATACAGTTTAACAGTTATTCACAGAGCAACTCTTCCACAGCTATTGTGCTAAGTGCTAAACACAGGAGGATGAGGAAGGTGTGATCCCTGTTCTCAAGCTCTCTTTCAGCCATCTGTTTCTCTCTTGCCTCTGATTCTATGCCATACATCTAGCACCTGGTCATAGTTTGCCTATCTCAAACTAGGTTATTTGTAGGATTGTTTGCCTATTTCTCAGACTAATTGGTACTTGCTTGTTCTCCAGTTTAGAAGTTGGATCCATACGTTGATTTTTTTGCATTCTCCACAATGTTGACCTTTGGTTCAGTCTGGAAGAAGATGTATTAATGCCCACTCCTCCAGTCATTTTTAAAATAAATTTATTTATTTTAATTAGGTATATATGACAACAGATTGCATTTTGTTTCATTGTACATAATTGCAGCACACTTTTCATTTCTCTGTACACAATATATGCCATCATACATGTACCTAGGGTAATAATGTTCATCACATTCCACCATCTTTCTTGCACCCCTCCCCTCCTCCCCTTTGCCCTTCAAATTTTTTCCTTTTTTCCCTTGCCCCCCCCAATTATGGATCAGCATCCACTATCAGAATATTTGGCCTTTGGTTTTTTGGGATTGGCTTACTTTGCTTAGCATGATATTCTCCAGCTCCATTCATTTACTTGCAAATGCCATAATTATATTCTCTTTTAATGCTGAGTAATATTCCATTGTGTATATATACAGTTTCTTTATCCATTTATCTATTGAAGGGCATCTCGGTTGCTTCCATAGTTTAGCTATTGTGAATTGAGCTTATCTAAACATTGATGTGGCTGTGTTACTATAGTGTGCTGATTTTTAAGTCCTTTAGGTATAGACTGAGGAGTGGGATAGTTGGGTCAAATGGTGGTTCCATTCCAAGTTTTCCAAAGAATCTCCATACTGCTTTCTATAGTGGTTGCATCAATTTGCAGTCCCACCAGCAATGTATAAGAATACCTTTTTCCCCCACATCCTCGCCAACACTTATTGTTGTTTGTATTCTTGATAACTGCCATTCTGACTGGCATGAGATAAAATCTTAGAGTAGTTTTGATTTGCATTTTACTAATTATTAGAGATATTGAACTTTTTTCATATATTTGTTGATTGATTATATATTTTCTTCTGAGAAGTGTCTGTTCAGTTCCTTAGCCCATTGATTGATTGGGTTGTTTGGTTTTTTGTTAAGTTTTTTGAGTTCTTTATATATCCTGGAGATTAGTGCTCTGATGTGCATGTGGTCCAGTCATTTTACATAACATTGATTGGGCAGTTATTCGTATTTATTGAGCACCTATTTTATGCTAAGCACTATTTAGGAAACTGGAGAATATAGAAATGAACAGGATAAATAAGGCTGCTGTTCTTGTATAGCTTATTTTCTTGTGGAAAAGACAAGTAAACCAATAAGATTATTTCAAATACTGGCAGTGCTAATGAAAATAAAATAATGTGAAAGACTGTGGGTGGAGGCAGTAACTTAATGATCAGGAGAGAGTGCCAGGTAAAAAGAATGGCAGGTACTAAGGCCTTGGAGCAGGGTTAGGTTAAGCATGTTTGTTTTAAAGGTTTGTCCCTGCCTTGAGGAGTCCTGCCCACAGTTCAGGCAAGACACTGGTGTGAGTAATTGTGATACAAGGCAAACTGACCACTGCTATCACAGAAGAGAGACAAGGAGGATTACGGAGCCCCACTGGGTACTGTAGAGGATACAGAGCTTGCCTGCCCAGGAAGTTCTTGTAGCTTAACAGGGAATAAAGTCTCAAACGATAGGTGTTTTATGCAAGAGATGGAAGGCTCTGTGAGCTCAGAGCTGCTCCGAAATATATACAGGTTAACAATAGCCACTAATATTTTCTGGGGACTTATCATGTGCTAAACTCTTTTCCTGGATTTTCTCAATCCTACTACTAACCTATGAGGTTGGTAGGAACTTGCTGGATGGTGACATATACTGCCACTCTCCTCCTACCCTCTTGCCCTTCTCAAGCTCCAGCTCAGAAGAGGGAGACCTCCCAGCTACCTCTAACCCCTGCTCCAATAGCAAACTCAAGATTTAAGAAGACATATGTGGCAGTGGAACCAGTCCTGAGAATCTCTGCCAATTTTTCTGCTGATAATGAAAGAGCAAAGTCCATGCAATACATTTTTTCTGATTCCTCCGGACTTTACTTGGAAAGACATCATGTTCTAACTAGGGAGGTCTTTTCTGGTGTTCTGCGTTTTATGCTCATGGAGCACTTTGGACTTATCATTTCTTCTTCTGTAGCAGCTTAGTGGCACCATTTTTATCCCTGTTCTGCTGAAGAAGAGACTGTGGACACAGAAAGGGAAGAGATGACTTGAAGGTTTCTGCCTGCATCAGGAACCAAG